AGACCTGAACCACCTGCTGGACACACTTGAACTACCTGCCGAACACCCCGGAACCACCTGCTTGACTCACCAGAACCACCTGCCGGACACGCCAAAATCACCTGCTGGAAATGTGGGAACCCTGCAACTTGGATGCCGGAAAAACCCGAAATACATGCCAGAACCACCTGCTGGACATTCTGGAACCACCACACAGACATGAAGAACGACCCACCAGACACACCGGAAGCACCCACTGGACACGCCAGAACCACCTGGAATCAGCTGCCAGACACACTGGAACCATCACTCTGACATGTCAGAACCGACTCCTGGCCATGCCGCAAGCACTCAATGGACAGGCAGGAACCATCTTCCGAATGTACCAGAACCACATGCCACACTCACAGGAACCACCTGCCAGACACTTCGGAACCACCTGTTGGATATGCTGGAACCAGGTGCCAGATACAGTGAAACCACCCGCCGAATACGCCACAACCAGGTGCCAGACACGCCACAAACAGCTTCCAGACAAGCCAAAACCAGCAGCCTAACACGCCGGAACAACCTGTCAGAAACGCCAAAATCACCTGCCAGATACACCGGAACCAGGTCCTGGATACGCCACAACCAATTCCCGGTAGAGCCTGGATCAACATGCCAGACCTGCCTGAATCACCTACAAGACAGGCGGGAACCAACTGCCAGACATGCTGGAACCAACACCTGGACACTCTGAAAGCACCAAAGGCACACGACGGCATCAGGTTCTGGACACATGGTACCTACCTGCCGGACACGCCGGAAACACCTTCAGGACGTACCAGAACCACATGCCAAACACACAGGAACCACCTGCCAGACACCATGGAACCAACTGTCAGATACGCCGGAACCAGGCGCCCGGTACCCTGAAGCCACCTGTGGAACATGCCAGAACCATGTGCTGGACACGCCAGAACCATGTGATGGATACATCAGAAACAGGTCCACACAGGACAGAACCAAGTGCCCGACATGCCAGGACCACCTCCTGGACACGCCTGAACCACCAGCCGAACAGGCCGGAACCACCTGCTGGACACGGCAAAATCACCTGCCAGATATGCCAGAACCACTTGACGGACACTCTGGAATCACATGCTGGGCATACCAGAACCACCTCTCAGATATGCCACAACCACGTTCTAGACATGCTGGAACCACCTCCTGGACAGACCTGAACCACCTGCTGGACACGCCTGAACCACCTGCCAAACACACTGGAACCACCTGCTTAACTCGCCGGAACCACCTGCCGGACATGCCAAAATCACCTGCTGGATATGCTGGAACCAGGCCACTTGAACACTGGAAAAACCCGGCATCCATGCCGGAACCACCCGCCGGACACTATGGAACCATGACACAGACATGCAGAACGACCCACCAGACACACTGGAAGCACCCACTGGACATGCCAGAACCACCTGGAACCAGCCGCCGGACACACTGGAACCATCACTCTCACACGCCAGAACAGACTCCAGGCCATGCCGCAAGCACTCAACGGACAGGGCGCAACCATCTTCCGAATGTACCAGAACCACATACGAGACACACAGGAACCACCCGCCAGACACTTTGGAACCACCTGTTGGATATGCCGGAACTAGGTGCCAGATACACTGAAACCACCTGCTGAATATGCCAGAACCAGAGTGTGCAGCATGTGGTTCCGGCATGTCTGATCGGGTTTTTCCGGTGCCTAAGGGGCCTGGTTCCAGCGTATCTGGCAGGTGATTTTTGCGTGTCTGGTAGGTGGTTTCCGAGTGTCCGTCAAGTGGTTCTGGTGTATCCGGCAGGTGATTTCTACGTGTCCAGAGATGGTTCCACCATGTCCGGCACCTGGTTGTGGCATGTCTGGCAGGTGGTGCAGTCGTGTCCAGCACCTGGTCTTGGCGTGTGCTACACCTGTTTCCGGTGTATCCAGGAGGTGGTTCTCACAAGACTGGCAGGTGGTCCAGGAGTGTCCAGCAGGTGGTCCTGGCATGTCAGGCACCTGGTTCTGGCCTGTGCTGGACCTGATTCTGATGTATCCATCACAGAGTTCTGGCATGTCTGGCACGTGCTTCTGGCATATTCGGCAGGTGGCTTCAGCGTACCAGGTGCCTGGTTCCGGCGTATCTGACAGTTGGTTCCATGGTGTCTGGCAGGTGGCTCCTGTGTGTTTGGCATGTGGTTCTGCTACGTCCTGAAGGTGGTTCCAGCGTGTCCAGCAGGTGGCTACCGTGTGTCCAGAACCTGATTCCGTCATGTGCCGTTGATGCTTTCAGAGTGTTCAGGTGTATGTTCTGGCATGTCTGGCAGTAGGTTCCCACATGTCCAGTGGGTGATTCCAGTATGTCTAGCATGTTGATCCAGGCTTTTCCAGAAATTGGTTGTGGCATATCCAGGACCTGGTTCCAGTGTATGCAGCAGATGATTTTGGCATGTCTGACAAGTTGTTATGGCGTGTTAGGCTGCTGGTTTCAGCTTCTCTGGCAGGTGTTTCTGGTATGTCCGGCACCTGGTTCTGGTGTATTCGGCGGGTGGTTTCAGTGTATCAGGCACCTGGTTCCGCCATATCCAACAGGTGGTTCCGAAGTGTCTGGCAGGTGGTTCCTGTGTGTGTGGCATGTGGTTCTGGTGCTGGGAGCCGTGGCTACATCATTTGATCGGCTGTTTGACAGGGTCCAGCCGATTAACGCCGAGGGGTGCAGGGCCGCCCCTTGGTGAAGAATAACCGGCCAGCCCCTCACACAGTTCTGAAACCTGTGCTGCTTCTAATTGCCCTTCATTCCTCTTCCTATCTTAACCTCCAGTTTTCACTCCTTTGGGTGGCTGCTTGGGAGGCACTACCTCCTGGGAAAATTAGATATAGTAAGAGAATGTGACCACCTGCAGGTAACTTTCAAGATATTTTTCAGTTAATTAATGGATGAGCACACAGTCCCATTTGAGACAATCAGAAAGGAATCCTGCCCAGATAAGATGTCGAATTAGGTTTATGGCCTCCATCTGGTTAATGTTTCCTTCTCCCTCCAGTTCTTTGTCTAAATATACATATGCATCGTCCTTCTAAGTTTGCTGGTTAATTGGATGATCAAGAAGTATCTATATATTATTCTTGACCTTCTGCTTTCTGTTAAAATGTTATAGAGGTTTTCTCCTAAAAGCAATAAATAATAAATAATTGGTGAGTAGAAGGGCCGAGGGGTGCAAGAATGCCCCTCGGTGAAGGATGGCCGGCCAACACCCCCGATATTTTCTGAATTATATGCATGCTTTCTATCAAGGTTATGTGTATACTTATTTCTCTTTTTTATTCTTGGAGATATATAGTTTAGTTTAGCTTTTCAGCCCTTTACTTTACTAACAATATGATACTTTCTCCGGCAGTGTACTTAAGGGACCGTTAGCTCTACAATCTAAAAGACAAAGGAATGCTTCCACCCCCTAAAGGGCGCGAAAAAGTAAAGATGTTTAACTGCCCGCTGAGAATGCAGATAGCCCTGGGGATAAGACACCCTGGAGTCGCCTTTTGTTCCCATTAACCATCTACACTAATGACGTAAATGATTGAGGGAGGCAGGGATGGCTCCACCAGGATGTAACCAGACAGACTGCTGTCCTGTCCGGAGGCCTGGACCTTCTCTCTTTGATTTAACTTTACCGTGAATTACAACAGATGCCTAGGTACCTATCTCCTTTACTTTAGAGACAACAAACACTAGTTAATTGCAGAGAAGACGATCATTAACCTTATGCTCTATAGAATGGAATGCTAATAAATATTCTTGTGCTCGTTTCTTACTTCCTTATCTCTCTGAGAATATTTGTAATACTATTTCTGTACTAATCCTGAAAAATATATAAACGACACTTGTGCACAGTAAAGTCGGACTTGCTAACACCAACCCAAGTCTCACGTCCCCTTTACTTTCCCCCTCCCTCATCGCGCCGACGCCGTCCATCCCTCAGGAACCTGGACTCCGCCGGGGCGGGACCCCGGCAAGTGGCGCCCGAACAGGGACCTGAAGGGTAAGTTCCCCCCACTTCTCGGGACGGATAGGATCCTACCCAGGGCTGGAAAGAAGAGCCCCCTTTAGCCCCTCCCTGCCAAAGGGAGAGTGAGGAAAGGACAGAAGGGTAGTAGGTGTTAAGAACTTTGAGAAGTTTTTGGCCCTCTCTAGAAAGGGAGAGTGAAATAAAAAATAATAATAATAATAATAATAATAATAATAATTGAGAAGTTTTTGCCCCTCTCTGGAAAGGGAGAGTGAAATAAAAAAAATAAATAATAATAATAATAATAATAATAATTGAGAAGTTTTGCCCCTCTCTAGAAAGTGAGAGTGAAATAAAAATAATAATAATAATAATAATAATAATTGAGAAGTTTTTGCCCCTCTCTGGAAAGGGAGAGTGAAATAAAAAAAATAAATAATAATAATAATAATAATAATAATTGAGAAGTTTTGCCCCTCTCTAGAAAGTGAGAGTGAAATAAAAATAATAATAATAATAATAATTGAGAAGTTTCTGCCCCTCACTAGAAAGGGAGAGTGAAATAATAATAATAATAATAATAATAATAATAATAATTGAGAAGTTTCTGCCCCTCTCTAGAAAGGGAGAGTAAAATAAAAAATAATAATAATAATAATAATAATAATTGAGAAGTCTTTGCCCCTCTCTATTAAGGGAGAGTGAAATAAAATAATAATAATAATAATAATAGAGAAGTTTTAGTCCCTCTCCGGAAAGGGAGAGTGAAATAAGGTTAGGAAGAATAAGAAGTATTAAGAACTTTGAGAAGTTATGGGCCATACTGAGTCTAAAGAGAGAAGGCTCTTTATAGAAATAATAATATGTATGCTTGCAAAAAGAGGCATAAAAGCCTCTTCGGGACAGATTTCTAAATCTTCATACATTTCGTACAAGAACAATGTCCCTGGTTCCCCGAAGAAGGAACTGTTAATTTGGAAACTTGGATGATGGTGGGGGCACAACTTAGAAAATATTACGCTCAAAAGGGGCCAGAAGGAATTCCTGTTGATGCGTTTGCTCTCTGGAATCTGATTAGAGATACCCTTGACCCCCAACCAGAGGAAATGAAGGCAACTTCCCCTGGAGAGCCTTCTCCTGGAGAGCCAGCTCCATCCCGATCCTTAGCTTCCGCCCCGCCGATAAAAAATGACAATGGCAATATTTTATCACCCCCAGATCAGGAAGGACTAGACGAGGCGGCTGCCACTTATCATAATGATGAACCTTGGGGCTTTCCTGTGAAAGTTTGCCCCAAAAGACCCCCTCCTCAACTTCCACAAAAACCACCTGAGTACTTGGCTCGACCTCTCCCCCCTCCTCCTTCTTTTGAGAAACTTGTCCCATCCTCTAGAGTAAGAGCTGCTTTGAGGGAGGCTGCGTTAGACGGAGACTTAAATTTCTCACTGGCGTGTCCGGTTGAGATCGGAGAATTTGATGAGGATATTTACTGGGAGCCTCTTCCTTATAAACTACTGAAAGAATTAAAGATGGCTTGCACTGAGTACGGGTCTCAGGCTCCCTACACCACAGCTCTAATGGAGGTCATAGCTAGCAAGTGGATGATTCCATACGATTGGACCCAAGTGGCAAAGACCTGTCTTGCTGGGGGACAGTATCTTCTTTGGAAAGCTGAATACGAGGACTTGGTCCGTCGTCAAGTCAGCCTTAATAAAAAATTTAAGAAGGAGGAGATTACTATGGACATGTTGTTAGGAGAGGGAGACTATGTTACTACCAACAAACAAATGCTTATGGGAAAAGAGGCCCTATTGCAAGTAAGATCATGTGCAATAAAAGCGTGGAATTCCCTGCCAACCAATGCCAAGAAGGCCACCACTTTGAGCGAAATAAGACAGGGGCCTCAGGAGTCATATGAGGATTTTGTGGCTAGACTTTTACAGGCTGTTAAGCGTGTGATCACTAATGAGGAAGCTGCTAATATATTGACTAAACAGCTAGCCTTTGAGAATGCTAATGCTCCTTGCCAAACACTGTTGCGACCAATTCGAAAGTTTGGGTCACTAACAGACTACATTAAACAATGTGCTGACTTTACGCCAGCCTTCATGCAAGGAGTTGCCATGGCAGCCGCCTTAAAAGGGGAAAGCCCTCTTTATTGTATGCAAACTATGACTAAGAAAGGAAATAGAGCTGTGAGAGTAGATGGTGAAAATGCCTGCTTTTCTTGTGGACAACAGGGACACTTTAGTAGACAATGCCCCAATAAAGCCCCAAGGCAAGCTAGACAGCCAACACCTCAGATTTTCCAAAAAGTTCAGCCACAAGATATGAAAGGAGCTCCAAAGTCCTTATGTCCTCGTTGTCAAAAGGGTTTTCATTGGGCTAAAGAGTGCAGATCTAAGTTTCATAAGGACGGTCAGTTTCTGGGATCGCCTCAAGTAACATTACTGACGCCGAGCTCACGATGCCTCGGGCCGATCCCCGCAGCTAATCCTCCGGTTCAGGGAAACGGGCAGCGGGGCCTCCCCCAGGCCCCGACAATAATGGGGGCCAGCACTCTGAACACTTCAATTCCCTTCGTCCCGTCTCAAGCCTCCTTCGAGCCACTCCAGGGAGTGCAGGACTGGACCTCTGTTCCTCCACCACAACAATACTAACTCCAGATGTACCTGTCACTCTTATCCCAACGGGAATTAAGGGACCTCTGCCAGAAGGAGTTGTAGGGCTAATTTTAGGACGAAGTTCCCTTTCCATACAAGGTTTGTCAGTTATTCCTGGGGTAATTGATTCAGATTATGAGGGGGAAATAAAAGTCATGATTGACACCCCCACAAAAACTCATTTTATAACTAAGGGTCAGAGAATAGCTCAATTGTTACTGTTACCATATTATTCCGTAGGGAAAACAGTAACTTCAGCCCCGCGAGGTGAGGGTGGTTTTGGCTCTAGTGACATAGCCTTTTGGCTGCAGGAAATTACATCTAATAGACCTGTGAAGCAACTTATAGTGGAAGGGATAGCCATAGAAGGGCTCTTAGATACTGGAGCAGATGTCTCCTGCATTGCTGGAAAAGATTGGCCCTCTTCATGGCCAATACAAGTGACACCGAACACCTTAGTAGGAATTGGAGAGGCCCCACAGGCTGACAAGAGTAGCAAAATTCTCCATTGGTCAGATGGAGAAAACAATGCTGGAACTTTTCAACCTTATGTAATCCCAGCTATTCCAGTTACTCTATGGGGGAGAGATGTCCTGGCTCAAATGGGAGTGTTATTATTCAGCCCTGACGATAAGGTCACGGCTCAGATGTTAAAAACGAAATATAATCTTCAAAAGAGTTTGGGCAAAGCTGAACAAGAAGCTCGATTCTCAATTTTTTCACAACCTAATGAAGACAAAAGAGGATTTGGATATGAGTCTGACTGTGAGCTATCAAATTTGTCATAGGGGCCGCTGTTGAAAGGGCTGCAGACCCTATAACATGGAAGTCTGATATTCCAGTATGGGTAGAACAGTGGCCTCTTCCGTCTGAAAAATTGAAAGCAGCCCAAGAATTAGTTAAAACTCAGCTAGAGTTGGGACATATAGAAACTTCTAATAGTCCCTGGAACTCTCCTATTTTCGTTATCAAAAAGAAATCTGGAAAATGGAGATTATTACAAGATCTGAGAGCCATTAATGAGACCATGCAAGATATGGGGGCCCTACAACCGGGACTGCCTTCTCCCGTAGCAGTCCCAGTTCAGGCTGCGGTTGTGGTTATAGATTTGCAAGACTGTTTTTTCAACATCCCCTTAGACCCTAAGGACAGGCCCCGATTTGCCTTTAGCTTACCTTCAGAAAACTTGAGGAGACCTTATCAGAGATTTCAGTGGAAAGTGCTGCCGCAAGGAATGAAAAACAGCCCAACGTTGTGCCAAAAATTTGTTGATATGGCCTTAATGCAGGTCAGGCAAAAATATCCTTCTATTTATTTGATCCATTATATGGATGACTTATTCCTAGCACATCAAGATAGAAGTTATTTACAACAAGTATTACAAGAAACAGTCGAGGCTTTGACTCTTTACGGCCTGCAAGTGGCACCCGAGAAGATACAGACTAATCCACCCATTAATTATTTGGGTCGAGTCATTCACACTGATTTAGTGACTCCCCAAAATATCCAATTACGAACAGATTCCTTAAAAACTTTAAATGACTTTCAAAAGCTCTTGGGGGATATAAATTGGATTCGGCCCTTTTTGAAACTCACAACGGCCGAGTTACAACCCCTGTTTGAAATGCTCAGGGGGAATAGTGACCCCACCTCAGAAAGAACTCTAACACCTGAAGGAACTTTAGCCCTACAAAAGGTAGAGGAGGCCTTAACACAACATCAATTACATCGAATAGATTATTCAATGCCTTGGAATCTTTTAGTCCTCTCTACGCCTGTCACTCCCACAGGCTGTTTGTGGCAACTAGGGCCTCTCGAATGGTTACACCTCCCTGCCACTCCTAAAAAGATTATTGTTTCTTATCCAGCCTTATGTGCTCTATTGATAGCTAAGGGGAGAAGAAGAAGCATAGAACTATTTGGTAAGGAACCTGTTAACATAGTAATTCCGTATACTAAAGATCAATGTGATTACCTATTTCAAACAGATGATGAATGGCAGATCTCTTTTGCAGGTTACTCAGGTGCTGTGTCTTTTCACCTTCCTAAACACCCCATATTACAATTTATTAAGAGACATCCTTTTATCTTTCCTACTAGATGTCAGAAGGGGCCCATAGCTGGGGCAACGTTGGTGTTCACCGATGGCTCCTCTAATGGGAGGGCAGCTTTGGTAATAGGGGACAGTTGTAAAACACAACAGACTAATGAAACCTCTGCTCAAAGGGCTGAGTTGGTTGCTGTAATTACAGCATTTAGAGAACTGTCTAATAAGGAATTCAATCTTTACTCTGATTCACAATACATAACTTGCCTGTTTCCTCAAATTGAGACCGCCACGATCCCTGTCTATAAGACTGCCATTTCGGCGCTGCTTTGTCAATTACAAAAATTAATTAGAGAACGTTCCCACCCCTTTTATGTGGGACATGTACGTGCACATTCAGGTCTTCCGGGGCCTATCCATAGGGGCAATGAAATAGCTGACCAGGCAACAAAGATAGTTGTTTGTTCAGCCATAGAGGAAGCCACCCAGGCTCATCAGTTGCACCACCAAAATCTACAGCCCTTCGTTATCAATTTCAAATTTCTAGAGAAGCCGCGAGACAGATAGTGAGAAATTGCACTGCCTGTCCCGCTACTATGCCCAGCCTGCCCATGGGAGTAAATCCCCGAGGTCTTCGCTCTAATTGTCTGTGGCAGATGGATGTTACTCATTTTCCTCAATTTGGAAAGCTTTCCTTTGTACATGTGTGTGTAGACACTTTTTCTCACGTTATTATGGCTACTGCCAGAACAGGAGAAGCCTTTAAAGATGTGATTCAACACTTGTTTATCTGCTTTGCTTATATGGGACAGCCTTTAGAGCTAAAAACAGACAATGCACCTGCATATACCTCTAAGGCTTTTCGAGATTTCTGCAAAACCTTTCAAATTAAACATTGCACAGGCATTCCGTATAATCCTCAGGGTCAGGCCATTGTTGAGAGAGCCCATCGGACCCTGAAACAACACTGGAAAAATTACAAGGAGGAGAGCTCAAATATAGCTCTCCCCATCATTTACTAAGTCATGCTTTATTTGTAATAAATTTTCTCAATTTAGATATTCACGGTGAGTCACCTATGATGAGACATTGGAATGATGATAAACAAAAAATTTTACCACAGGTTAAGTGGAAGGACTTGCTTACAGGACAGTGGAAAGGTCCTGATATTCTCTTAACTAGCGGTCGAGGATATGCTTGTATATTTCCACAGGACGCTTCCTCTCCTTTGTGGATTCCTGATCGTTTGATCCGGCATGTACAACAGGCGGTGCCGGACCCTTCCTCCGTTGAGAAGAACGGACAACAGCGCCCTGACGGAGAGGGATGAGGATCATCCTCCTGTGATGCAGATGCGGCGGCTTTCGCTCCGTGACGCACCCTATCAGCGTCCACCTCCTCGATCACCGCCGCCTCCACATCCGCGCTCTAAAGCCACTCGAGCTGCGCCTATTCCTACATGGGGTCAACTAAAACACCTTACCCAAGAGGCAGAACACTTAGTTCAGGTGCAGGGGGGTACAATCTCCCCCTCTACTCTGTTTCTAGCTATGTTAGCCTTGATTGCCTGTCAGGCAGGAAAAACCTCTGCCTCCCTTAACCAATATTGGGCTTATGTTCCTAAACCCCCTCTATTCCATCCAGTAACCTGGAAGGAAGGACAGATTCCTGTCACGAATAACCATCCTGAGTTATTAGGAGGTCTGTCTATATACCATGATAAATTTGACATTAACAAAGATTTTTCTTTTCAAGGTACCTCTAGCAGTCCCCCTATATGCTTTAATGTGCGCCCTGTAGGGCAGATGCCGGCTCCACTGCCAGTAACTAACATACCAGGCTGTATTGGAACCTCCATTAAGGGGCTACTTACAGACTCCCCTAACGGAATGTGGAGAAATTTATGGTCCCTGCAACTATTACTGCCTGGGGACATGGGCCCCAGGGCTCTGAACTCTACCATCCACCCTCCAGGATATCCTACTTGTCCTGGAAGGACTACATCCCCAGAGAGATTGCCTACTAATAGTGACTGGATGTCGGTTGACAAACGAACGGGCTTCCCAAAGTGGAGGGAGTGTATGTATTCATCGAAAACTGTGATAAAAATACCTTCTTTTCCCGGTGAGATATTTGATTGGAGCTGTCAGGACCCTTCGAAAGATTACAGAAATTATTTACGTGAAACTGGTAAATACCGGTGGTCAGATCGTTACATAGCTCCTGAACTGGCGGTGGATCGTTGGCATATGAATGGCTGGGTTCCCCCCATATTGTCGGCAGACTCTGGTGAGGTCCAGCCTCGCTTATGGCAGGCCGTAGCCGCTCTACACAACATTATCCTAAATAGGCCAGTGGGGTCCCAGTCCTATAAGGTTAAGGCATGTATTCCTGCCCCTTATGTTTTCCTAGCTGCGCCCACTCACAGTCGCGCAATGATTATTCTACCCACCACGGACGGTTCCATATATAACATTACCTGTACCAATTGTATTCTGACTAATTGTTTAAATCCTGATATAAACGTGGAAACTGTTATGATATTACAACAACCCCCCTATCTTATGTTACCCGTTCATTTGTCTGGACCTTGTATGATGATGTTGGATTGCTTACTTTGAAACAGGCTACTGATCTTTTACAGCGCCCCCGCCGGTTTATCACGGCTTTAATATTGGGTATCTCAGCCTTGATTGCATTAGCAACCTCTCTCACTGTATCTGCTGTAGCGCTGACTAAACAAATACATACTGCCTCTTATGTAGACGATCTTTCTAAGAATACCACTCTTGCCCTAACTACCCAAGAAATAATAGACGAAAAACTGGAGGCAAAGGTAAATGCTCTGGAAGAGGCAATATTACAGATAGGACAAGAACTTACAAATTTGAAGGTTAGATTGGCCTTGCGTTGTCATGTGTCCTATAGATGGATCTGTGTGACTCCTCTT